TAAATATTAAACGCAACGGTCGGTGGTTACTGCCGATTCGAAGCAGGAAACGAATTTCATGTAAAAGACGCATGATTCGAGGGGGACTAGCTGCGTGGGCTCTGATACATTCGGCTTTTTTTTATTATTAACCGTAGAAAACGCATTCAGTGTGACTTTATTTAATCAGTTGTAGAGCTATTTTCGAATGTAATCTCTTCTTACGGCATTGGGATTTTCTGTTTTCGAAGGACGAACGAAGACGTTGAAAATAAGGTGAATATTTCGAAGATTGAACGATGTACGAGTATTCTGTAAATATGTAATAAATTCATTTCCAAAGTGTGCCGAATTAATACTGGATTTACAGAGATTCGTTGCACAGTTTATTATACTATATCACGGAAGAATCGATGTTCCTTAGAGCCCCGGAAATTAGTTTAGAACTAGACGATTAAGATACATAACCGAGTAGTTGCATCCATCAAAATCGACGCAAATGTTTGTTAAATTGATTTCATAACCCCAGCCTTAATATTTACGTTTAATACATTCCGTGGTGATAATACTATAGTCGTGGACAGCCGTTCACGGCAGTTGTTACAGTCTATCCGACGTTCAACGGCCGCGAAACGCGGCGAGAAAGCAGCTCGGAGACGCAGCGCCTTCGCCGTGCCATTTTGGTGGTGCTCCGGTGTCGCGAATGGGGCGGCTGTAAAGTATACGCGCGTTTCTGGTGTCTCGATGACTGCTCGAGGCCGAGGCCGAGGACGAGGATGGAGACGGGAGTGGATACGGCGGGCGCGGGCGCGAACGTGTGTGCGGGACCTGTGTCTTCGAGTGCCGACACGATCTTCCAATGAAATCGCAGTGGATGTATACGTGTATAGACGCCGGGTGGTACAAGCCGGCGCAGACGCGTCGCGGAAACAAGCAGGAGGGTGCGTATTTCCACCCTCGACTTGGGCTGGTAACGCCGTGGCCGGGGTGTGAAAATCAGGAGCGAGCCGCGGCGGAGGCGGAGGCGG